CCTCTACCCAGATCATGACTAATCTAAGAATCTTTCCTCTGTTATTCTGGTAGGACTTTACCACTTCGTTATTCCCATGGCATTTTGTGCATATTTTCACTGTGGAATCTGTTTCAATTTACCTTTGCTTTATTGCTTTGCCCTTATTAGATGCTTAGTACGTGTCTGAATGAATAAACCAGATGTTAATTAAAACCCTTTCGTAGTGTATTGGGGGAAAAACAAGCTTAACTTATAATAGAAATGTTGGAATTAAAATTAATCAGCAGCATATTTCAGTGATAGTAATACCAATTAAGATTGTATGTCACCCTTAAGTATTAGACTAGATGTTGCAGTTGAATATTGAAGGATTAACAAGTGATGGAAGAAACCTGTTGATAGAAAATAACGTAATTACTAAAAAAAGGAAACTTGTTAACATTTAAAATTTGAGAATAGTATTACATTGAAATGGAAAAAGCATAATGCTTAAGTTGCATGTTTTAAATGTTTACTATCAGTATGTAAATATAAATATTGTAGAAACTTAAAGATATTGGACAAAGATTATCAGGTTATCAGAACAGACAGTGAACTTATTAAAGCTATTAGTGTAGTATTTTTTTCCCTTGGGTTCATTCTAGTTGAAATGGTAAATTTGCATTTATACTCTAAAGGCCAGCTTTTGGGGCTGTTCAGACACAGGTTTTTGGGCCCTGGTACTCAGAAGAACAAGGCAGGCTCTGGATGAGCAAGTTCTTTGTCTTGTGGATTTATCCTTTTGAAGGGGATGTGGTCAGAGGAAGAATGGGGAGTCCTTCTAGAGTCCAGGGTTCACGGCCAGATCCCCCTTTCACAGTCCTCAGAGTGGTACTGTGTATGCCCTTGAGCCAAATAAACCTAAAGGTTCTGTTCTTTTTTTGTTGGTTTTTTTTTTTTTGAGACAGAGTCTCACTTTGTGCCCATGTGCCCAGGCTAGAGTGAGTGCCATGGCATCAGCCTAGCTCACAGCAACCTCAAAACTCCTGGGCTCAAGCAATCCTCCTGCCTCAGCCTCCCGAGTAGCTAGGACTACAGGCATGCACCACCAAGCCTGGCTAATTTTTTGTATATATATTTTAGTTGGCCAATTAATTTCTTTCTATTTTTAGTAGAGACAGGGTCTTGCTCAGACTGGTTTCGAACTCCTGACCTCAAGCAATCCGCCTGCCTCTGCCTCCCAGAGTGCTAGGATTGCAGGCGTGAGCCACCACGCCCGGCCTACCTATAGGTTCTTTAAGAGAATTAGAACTCCACAGAATCTTCAGATATCTAAGCTATGATTGAGAGCACAACATTTGATTTCTCAGTGAACAATTACTAAGTGCTTCATTGTTCATGCACATTGAAAATAGGCAATAGAGTTTCTGAGTTTATTAGTTTTTTATTTTAGAACTTAAATTTTCTGAAATAATAAAATAGTGGCATTCAATTTGAATTTATGCCTGCTTTGTAGAACTTCTAATTATGCACTCTTTGTTTTAAATATTTTCCCACTTTTAAAAAAATAGCTATTAGCTTTTTTTTATGTGTGGTAGTGGTGTTAGTATGAAAAAGAATAAAATGAAAGGTATCCCTAATGCTCTTCTAGCCCTGGTTCAATTTCCAAGTGTATTCAAGGGAAAGAAAAAAGCTGTGAATTGACCACTTAAGTAAATCAGTTTTCAACTCAATATCCTAAGATTATTAAACCTAGAGGCAGGAATACAGTTTTATGTCACAAAAATTCATCTGACACAACTTTTCATAAAATACTATACTATTTTTCTGATTGGTCTCATGTTAATATACAATTGTAGTTTTTACAGTAATTTAGAAAAAGAAAGAACCAATTCAGTGTAAAAGGGAATACTTGATTACTCTATTGTATAAGAGCAATAAAAGCTAATTTACTGTTATATTACTAAATATTGAAAGCTGCAAGAGGCTATCTTTCTGTTCATTCTTCATTAATTGTGCTATATTGTAGTGATATTAGTATCTATTATAGATGAGTTTTATGGGAGTCTTTTAAGTTGACATCTATGAGCTTGTATTTTGGCTCATGTAGATACCTTTGACATATTTTCTGTATGATTTTTGAAGGGCAAATGAAGTAGTGAAGGCAAAATGGATTAATCAGCTCTATAAAAACTCTCATGATAAACTAGTGTTTGAAATGGTCTTAGTTCATCAGAAATTATAACTGTTGAAAATAAATTGTACTTTAAAAAAACTTTTTACTTATCTATCTTTATTTAGTTCATCACAAATTATAACTGTTGAAAATAAATTGTCCTTTAAAGAAACTTTTTACTTATCGGTCTTCATAAAGACTAGCCCTTTTTAATTTGCCTTTTATGTTAGATTACTAGAGTTTTATTGAATTAATTTTGGAGGCATTCCACTATTCTTTATTCATGAGTTCTTTAGTTAATAGATAGGTATTAGTTTTGACCTTTGTTGAAATTTAGGTACAAGGTATTAAAATATATGTAGTATCTTAAAGATGATAATTCTAATAGAGCCATTAGTAATTTACTTGGTCCTTGTTGCACATTTATAATAAGAGCATGGTACAAAAATACATTTACTTGTTTACATTTGATTTCAGCTCCATCTTGCAATATGTAAGTAGATACAGTTATTAAATTAAATATTATGATGGTACTTGATAAAATAAATTTTTCCCCATGTTGCAATCTTTAGTTTTTGGATGGTAATTATGCTGATTTGTTTTAGGACTCTGTATATTTGCTGGGGCTGCCATAACCAGGTACCACCTATTGTACCTACTGGGTGGCTTAAACAACAGAAATATATTTTCTCATAGTTCTGAAGGCTAGAAGTCCAAGATCAAGGTGTTGGCAGGGTTGGTTTCTTTTGAGGGCCTCTCTCCTTGGCTTGTAGATGACTGATCTTCCCTCTGTGTGTGTTTGTCCGTGTCCTGATCTCTTTTTAGAAGGACATGAGTCCTACAGGATTAGAGCCCACCTTCATGACCTCATTTTGCCTTAATTACCTTTTTAAAGACCCTATCTCCAAACACAGTCATATTCTGAGGCAGTAGGGGTTAGGACTCTGACATATGACACTATTCAACCCATAAATAAGGGCATAGAGTGAATTCTATGCAAACTAAACATTTTGGGTAACCAATATGTTTTAAGATGTGCAGCAGTTTATTTAAATGTTTTAATTGTATACTTTTATAAATTAGGAGTTGGGAATACCTTTTTTGTTTCCTCTTTATCTGGTTTAATTGTAGAGATGGGGGAAAGGGCAATTAAAGACTGATGATAATAATAATGATAGCAGTGAATGTTTATCAAGTGCTACATTATATCCCATGCTTGGCTCTGAGCACTTGGCTTTTTTATAATAACTTGGGGGTGTTGACATGGTCAGCAGGGAGTGAGGGCACCCCCATTTAAAGGTAGGTGGGGTTTGCTTGGCTCTTCCCTGGGAATCTAGATGTAGGTGCTGGCTCAGTGCTCAGGGGCAGTGCTCCAGGTTTGTACTTTTGCAAAGCTAGGTGAGATTCTCTGCAAACCACTATTTCATGAGATATGTTTGAGTTTTTCTGTAGGTACAGGCTTTTTAGTTAAATACAGAAAAATTGAGGTATACAGAGAGCATTCTTGGGTAACAAATCATCTTAAAAGTACTCCAGATCAAGAAAGTCCTATAAAGACTATTTTATATCCTATTCCTGTTTAGCTTGTAACCTTATACTTGCCATGTTGTAGGTGCTCAGTAAATAATTGAGGAATGAATGAGTAGATTCAGTTAAAGCAAGAAGGATAAATACAGTCACAGCTATGCAGTGTATTTTTCAAAAGCTTGTATTGGCTTTGTCAAACTAGTTGTATTGTTTTTTCTGTCTTAGCAGGCTTTTATTTTTTATTTTTTGCCAGCAAATATAATGTACCTTGAATATTAACTTAATCATAGACAGACAAAAGCAGCAGCCACCCTGACCCCTAATACTTTAGTCTTCTCACATGTTGAGGTTTGGCAACAATAGGGCAGTAAGTAGTTCAGCCTGGGTGTATAGAAACTCTCCTCCCTGTAAGAATTCATAAATGAGAATAGGTTATTTTCCAGGGGTGCATGTTGCCCATCACCAGTGGGTGGAATTGGTAGCTATGTATATTTTGGCCTTGGCTGTTTTAGTAGTCTACCTCATAGGGCTATGTTTGGACTTGTGGGTCTTTTTAAAAATGTTTCTTATAGCCAAATTGCCAATGTCTTCACATAAAATTTACAGGATATTTTGAGAAGTACAGGAAAAATCAGAGAACCAAACTGCCAACTTCTACAGTTCTCTTTTGAAAAAACTTTACATAGATGTGTACGTACGTATTTGTTATTTGATTAGCGTCACTTTGTGCTTGTAAAAAATTGAATAATGAACAGCCTTTGGGAACAAATGCCTATTTTTGGCAGAATTCTATTTAATATTCACATTAACATTGTAATACTTTATTTTCTGCTGCTAGCTTTTAGGTAGTTTATACTTGTGATTTCCTTTTTCTTAGTTTAACTTATTTAATGGGTAGGGAATTTTAGATATGGCACAGGAGTGTAAAATTTGGATCTCATCTTGAAAACAGTACTACCAACTTGTTGACACTGTTTAGATTTTTTAAATTTGTAAAAATTTCTTAAACTTGAGATAAAAAATTGAATTAGATACTAGAATTTGTCAGGCATATGTAACTGCTTTTTAGCCCTAGGTCATCTTTATTATTTTTCTCTTTTCTCTCTGAATTTGTGCAGTTTTCAGGTATTTTAATCATTTCAATGTTAGTGGGTTTCTGAGTCCTATACCAACTAAAATAGAATTTCATTAATTGTAAACGCTTGTTAAATTTTTAAATATGTCTGTATATGAATGAAACATCTAAGGATGTCCAAAGGTAATGCAATGGAATGTGACTGAGTTGAAATCAGCCTTGTGAATCAGATTTTTGTGGTATATTTGTGTCTTGATTTAGGTTGGTTGAAGACTTTCAATGACTACTTTAGAGACAAGACTCAGTATATTTTTAATAACATGGTCCTAAAGCTGGGAGAAGACTCAAGGAGGAAGTTTATATGGGCTGAGATCTCTTACCTTTCAAAGTGGTGGGATATTATAGATAATCAGAAGAAGGATGCTGTTAAAAGGTTTGTTTGAAAAATTTTTTGAAATTTGGTAATATTAAGGATTAATTGTACAATGAAACAAGTATTACATTTTTAGAAGGTGAAAATTCTTAGCTTTATATCTGAAACAAAATGTTTCTTCACAACCTTTTTTCACTGATTTTGGTTCATCCCTGAAAAGCGATTTGAAACTTTCCTGTTTAAATCTTTGTGTTCCAGCTTTGTCCTAGAAATGGAATTACTAGGTCAAAGGAGCAAAGGAACTTAATATCTTAAGGTTTTTTAAAGCATATAATCAAAGTGACCTCTGGAAAGTTTGTTTCAGTGTATTTTTCAATCTTCCATGTAGAAAGTACCAATTTCTATGCCTGTCGGCCAACAATATAATTTTTGAAATCCTTGGCCAATTTGATAGTTGAAAAATTTTATTTTGGTTGGTAACAATGTTGCATATTTCTTCATACATACAAGCTAAAGTTTTTGTAACTTGCTTATTGTACATTTGTAGAAATATTTTATATGTATGTATATATATATATCTCCCTTATTTTTCCTCAAGTTTTTATTTTCATCTTAATTCTTAATGCTTGATATACACTTTTAAAATTTTTATATAATCAAATCTATTAATCTATTTTCTTTAGATGTTACTTTCACTGTCATATTTAAAAAGATTTTCCCTAATCTAGAGGTCAGATATATTCTTTTTTTCTTAGTTTCATTTTTTACCATTCATTATTTAAAATACTGAAATTTATTTTTTTTTTAATATAGTGTGATGAGAAGTTCTCTGATCACCATGTACCCCTGTTCTTGGGTGTTAAGAATCATCTTATGATTTTTTTTTCCCATTTATTTAACGTTATCAGTACTTACTCTATTAGGCCCTGTTCTAAACACTTTCCAAGTTGTAACTGATAATCCTTTCAACAATTCTGTGAAGTGGGTACAATTATTATCCTCATTTTACAGATGAGGACACTGTTTCCCCCAGGGTCACCAGCCAGGTCATGGCGGTGGTGGTGTTGTATCCAGTCCAGCTGTCCAGAGGCTGTGCCTTTTCTACATCATGCTGTGCTGCCTCCCAAAGATTTTAATAGTCCATCCTTTTCTATTGGTTTGAAGTGCCATCTTTAGTATATTTAAATATGCATTGATTTCTTCTTTTTTTTTTTTAATCCTGTTTCATGGACTTTTCTGTTTTACTATAATCGTTGTAGCTTTATGAAATGTTTCATTAACTGAGAGTTTAAATTTTCCTTCATCTCTTATTTTCTTTTTAAAAATGTTTTATTTTTAGTGAATATGGGTACCTAATACGTATTATGTTTATTATTAACATATTTAGTTATTAACATAATACATATTATGTTTATTATTAACATATTTAGTTATTATATATTATTATATAATACATAATACATATGGATACATATTTGTGGGGTACATGTGATATTTTAATACAAGCATATAATGTGTAATGATCAAATTAGGGTGATTGGGTTGTTCATCACCACAAGCATTTATTGTTTCTTTGTGTTAGGAATATTCCCATTCCACTCTTTTAGTTATTTTGAAATGTATAATACATTATTGTTAACTATTAAAAAATTCTTTTAATGAATGATCATTTAATTTTCCCAAAGCTTTAGAATGAATTCGTTAAATTCCTTCTACCCCATCAAAAACAATAATCACTTTGGATTTTGGTGAAAATTGATGTAAATCTTTAAAGGTAATTTGGGTAGAATTGATTTTTCATCATTTTCATTGGAGTTTTTTTATTTTTTATTTTTTTCTCTCTGATTACAGGCATAAAGTGCTTGCAGGGCTGGCTAGGAATGTGCTTTAAGTGAAGGCTGTCGGTAGGCTCTGGAAGTATTGGGACCTGAGTAACTACCACAGCCAAAGGAGCTAGCCACTTCTATAGCCCTGTGTTGCCTTGGGAACCAGATTGTCAGGATATCCCTCCAATTACTCAAGACAAACTGTAATTCCAAAATGTTATATAAAATTCGTTGACTTTTTAAATTGAAATGTTAGCAGCTAATTTAGGTTAACGTACATAGGCACATACATATGGGTGCGCATATACACACACACAGAGCCAAACAGAACACATTAGCGTTTCTGACTCCTTAGTTTATATCTAGCTACCTACTAGTTTGCAACCTTATAAAAATTAATAGCTATCTTGAAAAGCCATGTAGAACTGGTTTTTTTTTTACAGGTAATTCTTTGACTTAAGTGTTAATATTAAAAAATGATTTTGTTTTAGGTCTTGTGTTACTCCTTGAGTATAAATAATACCTCATATTTTCTAAGAAAATGATAATTTTATAGAGATTTGACTCAGATTGTTCAGGTTTTAGGAATTTGTCCCATCTGTAATTATTTTTGCTTTTTTGTTACTACTTTTGGGAATCTGATTTTTTTTTCTTCATCTTGATTTACTTATTTTTGTTGGTTTTTGCCTGCCTAACTCCCCTGCCCCTAACCTATTTATATTTTACTGGTTTTTACTCTTGGACTCTTTTTTTTGCTTTCATATTTCCTGATTCCTTCTACCTGCTTTTACTAATGCAAAATGGGCCAGTCCGTTTAATAAACAGCATGTCTCCATCTGCGTGTTTGCCTTTTAGCGCTGTTCTAGCTAGCTTTTACATTTCTACATATGCTATTTTTCCCCTAAATATTCTATAATTGTACTTACTGTTTTCTCTCTGACTCGAGTATGTTAGGAAAATCATTTTCAATTTGCAAGTGCTATTTTTTCCTAGCTATATTTTATTAAAAATGAGCTTTAATGTCTTATGGTCAGGGAGTGTGGATTGTACACTTTTTATTCTTTAGAATTTCTTAAGTTTTACTTTGGGACTGTGTGGTCAATGTTGATGAACCTCCTACTAGTACTTGAAAAGGTGTTTGTAGAATATATAGTTTCATGGGTATCTGCTAATTCAACATTTTACAATTACTGTCTTCATCTTTGTACAGTCAGTTCTGCTATCAAGCAACATGCACATTCCTGAAAATCACTGTTACACAAAACCGTGCAATAAAAACCATAGGACTTATGGAAAAAATGGGGTTAGAGTACAGCACGCAAAAACTTCATTAGTGACACACACACACAAAAGATGGAAACCTAATGAAGATGTTAGTCCAGTTTTATATATGTTTAATTGGTTAAGAAAAGCCCAAACAAATATGTCAGTTTACCTTGAAAAGGACCTGAAATATGCTTGTGCAAGTGGGTGTCGGGAGGAGTGTAGATCGTGAGTGTTTGTGGTGGCAAGTAGGTTATCTGCAATCTGTCGGAAAGTTCAGTTGAACAGCAGATGTGGAGGGGTGTGGCTTATAACCCTCCTGGAGCTAGGAGATATTTGAGGTGTGTCTTGTGTATTCCTGCACAGCTCAGTTCAGCTGGGTAGTTTTCTGCCTTTGCCTAGTGTTTCTCAGGACTAAGTTGCACATGAGCAATGCAAAATTTGTTCCCTAATATAATCAATCACTTTGGAACAAACTACCGTTTTTAAAACAAGTGTTTTATGGCAGAACTGATTGTACTTATTTGTTTGCTACTCTTCCCCTGTCAGCATTTTTTTTTTTTTATCTTGGGGTGTTTTATGTTTTTGTTCCTTCCTTGTCTGATCTTTCTTTGCTTCCAGCTCATTCATTCATTCATTCATTCATTCATTCATTCATTCATTCTATAGACACTTCCTGATTATCTACTATGGGGCGGGGACAGCAAGGTTCTGAGCACTCCTAGGCTAACATTTCTTTTTCTTCATCATAAATTGTATCTTTCATCATTGACAAAATACCATCTTTTCTCCTTTTAATAATGACTAATATTGCTATCACTATCAGTCTTTTGTTTTTTGTTTGTTTGAATTTCCCTTATCTGTGCTGACTTTTTTACTTGAAAGACAGTCAGTTTGGAGTTGTAGGTCTAAAGGCTGGACACTAGGGCCAGGCTGCTGGGTTCAAATCCTGACAAGTCCCAACTACTGTGTGACTTTGGTCAAGTCACTTAACTGACTTCTCTGTGTGTCAGTTTCTTCAGTTGTCAAATGGGAGTAATATTGGAATCTCTTTTATTTGGTTTTTTTGAGGATTAAATTAATACACATAACATGCCAGGCATTGTGCCATTTTAAATTCTCAATAAATATTAGTGGCTCTTATTATTTTAACTTATTAGTCACTTTGAATATATATCTTTTGGGCACTGTATGTAAGTTTTAGTTCTAAAGTCATCTGGAGGGTCTACACTATTTAATGGGAGATTTTAACTATAAAATGTATGTTTTCTATCTTAAAAGCTTTGTACATAATGCTTCATCGAAGATAACTTTTTTCCTGTGCACAGATGCTTTTAGGATTTTTTTTTTTTACTTTATCCATGAAATTATAAATTTTCACCAAGTTATATATCTACGTATTCATTAAGTTTTCCATCTATCAGTTCAAATATTTCTTTAGCTTTTATGTTCTATTCTTACTAATTGACTAGTCTTTTTGCTTTATTTCTTTTAGAATTCATTTATCTGGTTATTGAGTCTCTAGCGTCTCTTTTTCATACGCATTTTTATTTCTATTTCTTCTATTTACTGCATTTTGGGAGATTTTTCTCGTGGGTTTCCTCCCCCATCCCCCATCCAGTACTCTCTGATATTGAGTCTGTTCTTTTCCGGCTTTGAATGCTTGTTTTAACTTTGGTTCTGTGTTCTTTTTATTATTGTCCATAGTCCAAGTGCTTTTCCCCTTTTTATTCATCTTGAGCAAGAACAGCTGTATCCACACCTGGAGTTTGTCCCAAACAGAATGTAACTTGCCTAAAATCCCTTCCTTTTCTAACCAAATACTTCACTTTTCTTGCTGTAGGTACTAGTTATTGCTAGCTGGCCAGCGTCTGCTTCACCTGATTTCCTTTTGGGAAATGGTCTCTCACACACAGGAAGCAGATCTTCCCTCTTCCTGCCCTAGCCCAGACAGGTCAGCTACAGCCTGAA